TATCCGTCTAATAATTCTACTTTGTCCAGCTTCTCCAGACAAATCACAGTGACACCAAAAGCTTAAAAAGACATTTTGATACTGACATTTTGTTGCCTTGTATGTCTCTATTTAAGTTTGCCGGTTTTTTTACGAAGACATAAATATAGGGTGATAAAAAGGGCGATGCAGATCTTTGATAGTAATAATTTTTGATATGATTATGTTTTTTTCATACTACAGGCTTAGGCAAACTTAGTCAGTTGAACAATGAGGAAACATTGATGCTGATTTAAAAAAAAATAACTGTACCTACTGCATTAAAAAGCCACAGCAAGTTACTCTTCGGTGTATTTCCGGACTATCCTCCTTCGAAAATTATGCCGCTCTAACGGTGAGCGGACGTTAGATGACATGGACTTGGACTGTGGTTTCCACAGGACGGTCTGATTTGCCGCACAACGGATGAACCAATGGTATTATTTTAAACATCTGCGTACTTATTGAATCACCCTATATCTATATACGTAGATTTGTATATATGTATATCATTATAGTTGTACTTTATCTGCGCTATGTATGATTTCACTTTCGTCTGGTATGCTGTCTAGTTAAATAGGTTTATGACTTTATAGCGTGGGAATACCGTTAATACCTACAAATGACGTGTGCACGTCGTCTGGGTCAAAGCCTTAAAAAACTTCCATGTGAATGAATGAAATGTCTAGAGCATGCACGTGATCACATATTTTATTACTTTTTATCTTGGGATTAATGATTATGAATGAAGAAAATTTCCACGGTATCGCGCGATATTCGACGATATCAGTGATGGACATACTTCTGTAAATAATAAGAATTTGGTTGAAATTCGTTAATTTGGTTTTGAACCAATTGGTCACAAAGAAAACGGCTACATTTATATATAAGTATATAACGAATTTCAACCAAATTTGGACGGTATATTCCTGAGAACCATGGCAAGGTCATGGTGACCTGTTTAGTTATCGATCATACAAGGCTTACTAAGAGAATCATTTTCATCGGCGTCTTATAAGGTGTATCTTCCAATCAAGTGATTGATCAGATATGAGCTTTTGTTATATAGCTCCTCTAGCTGTGTAGGTAGTGAAGGTAAGAAAATGTGTTTAGATCCCAAAGACTTAATTTCAAATGCAGTTTGTAATAATATTTGGCACTTACAATCTTGCTCAATGTTTGGCTGAGCTTCTCCTAAAATTTGTGGTGTACATCTTGATATTATTAACTATGCGAATGGAGGGATCTACAGTGTTACGACGCCTCCTAATGTACATACATACATAGCTGAAAACCATGTCTCATCAAAAGTAGATAAGAATTTTATCTGTATTTGGATTTATACTTCCCTGACGGAAAAAAGCGATTTTGTTTTAATCAACTAATTGAAAGAATGCTTTTAAACAAATGCAATGAGTAAATGTTTCGAATTCATATACTCCGATAACTACAAAAAAACAAATTGAGTCTTGGAAGTATGAAAAGGCATCTGTGAAGTCCAGAACGCAATCGTATTCAAATGAAACAAATATGTTTGCTACAACTGGTCGCAGCCAAGAATGTTCATGTTCAAATTTCATTTAATTTTAAATTTTTAATTTCGGTTTTTCTTAGTTATGGAAAAGCATCTGTGAAGTGGAGAACGAAAGCTTATTCAAACGAAACATATTGACTTTGAAGTTGTTTAAGCCAAATTCATTTTAAAGTAGTTGAAAATACATGCAGGAAAAGGAAAGGCAGTTCGTTACAGGTAAAATAGTGAGAATCTCAATTAGTTATCATTGAAAATAAAGTAGTGTATAAATTACTTTCAAACTAATTCAATTTCCAGCAGGGTTCTTTCACAGCACACCAAAAGAGTGAGCGTAGTAATACATATACCAATCTTCAACGCATAAGATATTGTATTCGCCAAAAACAGCAGAGACGATGAACATTTGTATATGTATTACGCCAGCCGGTTCTTGTCTACGCCAACTGACGGAAACTGGTAATTTGTAAGTGAAGGGAAGTCATTCTCCATCAGCGGTTACTCCATTACAGGGAGAAATGACCTGAAAATCTGCTTAAATTTTATTTAGATTGAGTGAACATCAGCGGGATTCTGACAATCAGAATGCCGAATTTTCGTCGTAAAAATTATTCAGAACAAAAGCAGTGGCGCCTAAAAATATGCAATATGATAAGTAGCAAGTGCAGTTTATATGTGGAATCAGTTTTTTTTTGGGCTGACGTCAGTGATCGGACTTCTCTATCACATTGTGATTGATGTACCACTTTTTTGAGGATCTACCAGATACACCATAAAGGAACTGATCTCTACTACATATTCGCGTTTTAAGAAGTTTAATTTTTTCCCTCATCATTTTCTTCATTTTTTAATTTTGAGAGCAAAAAACTGTCCAACTCTAAAAACTATGTACGTATTTATGTGATAAAAAAACTGGCAGCACTTTGCAAAGTTGCATAAATCTTTAGAGTTATATTCGAAAAATTTGCATATAGGGAAGGTAATGCGTGACACTCTCAACAACAAAAAAAATTGTTAAAATTCAACGCGATAACTTGCACTTTCATTATACTAAAATTTAATGGGCTAAAAAATCGCATAGCAAAATTGTTTCTAAAAATTTTAATTTAAATGTTTGCTAATTGGCTAATCTTTTTTACAAAGTTTGAACTTTTGATTAACAAACTTCCAACACTTTTATTTTGAAATCCACCACATTTTCCAGGTTCTACTACAAAGAAATATTTATTAGGCCAAGGACATCCTGGCGTACATATTGTGGCACAGATTTGGATACTCAGTATGCTTACTTGCAAGAATCGGATAACTTACATTTCCTCGAGAATACTCTAACACCTGATTCCAGCATTAAGAGCAAGTTTCCTAGTACCAGTTTAAACTTAGATCATCTAAATCATATGCCTCTAAATCTGCAAAAATTTTAGGGAATACACGACTCGCAAAGAGCTGTCTATCCCGTTACTTATATAAAAGGTAACCATAATTTAAAACATGTATACAAATTTGTGGACCTTGGTACCACGATGGATCTTCACAATCTCCACATTAATGTGACAGTCAACAAGGCTAGAGGTGTACTTGCATTTGTGAAACGAAAAGAATTTAGTAAATCCTATATCACCAAAACCGTAGTTAGTTAGTTAGTTAGTTAGTTAGACCGATTCTGGCATACGGTTTGGTGGTTGGGAATCCAAGTACTTTTTGCTTCAAAAAATTTCCCTTGGGATTCTGAATATAACCTTCCACCTCATACGAGTCATTTAAAACCAATTAACCCTGCTACACTTGTCAGTCGCAGGGAAATGATTGGTAAAATTTGTCCGGTTAAATTACTGGCACGCTCAATTTCATGTCATAATCAGCTGATTAACTTGGTTCTATAGCTGAATAGTTTTAAAACTCGACGCTTAACAAAGTCCTGCCCAAGGCGAATTTATATAAGGTGGTGTTGTTTCATCAGCTGTGAGTAGCGTTTGATTGTCAAAATTTTGTATTTCGTTAGCGAGTGAGTGAAAAGGTGAGAGTGTTTATATTTTCTGTCGCCCTTTTTCATTCGGGGAAGAATAGCTGAAATTTGACAATGGCCCGCTAAAAGCAAAAACAGAATACAACTAATTGTTGTATTTGTTGAATCGATACCACCTTATACATATGTATTCGCCTTGGTCCTGCATTTCGTGACCCGGCGCAAAAATGAAAAAAGTATCCGTACGTCATGCGCAGGGCAACCGTTGGGGTCTTTAATAAAATAAACTGCTTTTGTCTTAAACTACTAGCGTTTAACCTAAGTCAAAACAAACCGACACTAAAGAACTGGCCCTAAATATGAATAATGCACGGCAAGACTATTACAAAAAATATTTTATTTAACTCATTTCTGGATCGCAATATTTTTGCAAACGAGCAAAACGGGCTTCGGTTTCGAGAGATCATCTTGTAGACATTTACGAACCAACTGGAATAGTAATTGGACACAAATACTTTAAAAGCTATTTGTTTTATTTCAATTTCTCATTGCACTTTTTGTTTGCTCTCTCCATTTTTCAATCTACGGACTATCCAACGTACTGACAAAATAGAAGTGCCGACTACTGCTATAACAACAGCCATAACCAGAGCAGCCACGTCGAGCAAATAGAATTGGTACCACTTCAAATCCATGCCAGCAGCGCGCAGATGTCGCGCACCATTGTGGCGTACCACATAGTCGATCCAATAGAGTAACGTTTCCCGAGGACCCATTGGACGATCGCGAAAAATGCGCGAGAACCGTTTGGCAGTATCGCGATATATGGGATTGAAGAGCAACTGCTCCAAACCACGCTTCAGAGTTTCACGTGTGAGCATACGGAATTCCAACGCAATGGCATATCCAGCGGACTCGGCTTTATTCACATTCAATTGCTAGTGGAAATGGACGCTTAGTTATTGATGTTTTGACATTTAATTGGTTTTTATATTTATAGTTAATTTTCAATTCACCTGATCGAAGAAGAACGGTATACCTAACACGGGCACGCCATTAAAAACGGCTTCTTGTGAACCAAAGAGCCCCCCATGGGAGATGAAAACACGCACATTAGGATGTGCCAAGATATCACTTTGCGGCAACCACTTTTTAATCATTACATTGGCTGGTAAATTCGCTATGCTTTCATTTTCAAATTTCCATAAGACGCGTTGCTTCAATTGGCGGAAAACATCGAGGAATACCTGTAGCTTTTCCAGCGGCATGTCCTTGGCCTGTACTTGGGTACCAAAGCTAAAGTAAATGGCGCCATACTCTGCGTCATCTAAGAATTTCTGTAAATCGGTGGGCAGTGGCTTCGGTGGATAGATATGTAGGCCACCAACATTAATCATATTGTCGATCGTGGGTGCTGGCGAGGCTAAGGGTGTGTAATTATTAATGAATACAGCGGAGAGATTCCGATTCATCGCCGAAACAGTCGGAAATTTAACTGCAAAAAGTGAGTAGTTAATTAGCATTCGACCAAAATTCACTGAATTCCCAATGAAAAAACTCCAAACTACTACTTACTTGGCAAATGTCCGAAATATTCCTTTACAAGTTCATCCATTTTGGGAAAATAACTAAATTCGAGTTCCAGATCATTTTTCAAAGAAAAATAGGTATTGTAAGCGCGTTCCCAAAAATTCATGCGCTCGGTAAGATGTAGTTGGCCATGGGGCACATATGACCAGGGTGAAATTATGCCGAACATCTGGCTCATGGCGAGTTGCTTGGCATATGTGGCTGAGCTGACCGCAGGCACATTGTATATATGAGCGAATGCAAGAAATACCTCCTGATAACACTGTTCTACCAACAACAAATCGTAGACTCCATTTGTAATTTTGGCATTCATAATTGCCTGTACTTTAGGCTGTTTCAACGTATGTGTGCTAAGCTCTATACCCATAACTGTAGCAAATTCTAAAAAACCTGCGGCATCATTTTCGATGTCATAGAGTGACTTAGTACCGGTAAAGTCGTAGACTGCAACGAATGTAAAACGAAAAAGTTACAGTTTCCAAAATTTATACATTTAATAAAAACACTTACATAGTTTCCAGTAATCGAACTCCGGTTCGATGAGTATCTCCGTATAGTTGCTGCCCAATTTGAGTGGCTTTAATGTGAGTGCGGTGATCATGGTGACCTAATTGTGGATTAAACAAAAATGCTTTGAGTTTTTGTGTAAAGTCTGGATTAAATAAAGAAAAGTTATTGCTCAGTTTTGCCAGGTTGGCGATTTTAAGCGTGTTTTCTCAATTGAAATTGGTGGACGTAGAGCAACATTTAAAACAACTAAAAGTGATTTAACCCTTAATTAGGAGCATAAGGAAAATCACACAATTAGTCGCATGGGATCTCCAGTGACCCCAATAAATATGTTGAGAAAAGAGTTTTCAAAATAAAAAAAGGAAGTGTGTATTATCAAAAATATTAAAGTACTCTATTATCGTTAACTTAAAAAAAAAAAAATCATATTTTCGACTTCAAACTTAAAAAACGAATTTAAAAACTTACCTCCCACAAAAAATGTTACGTTAGGGGTCGCATGAAGTTAGTATTTAAAAGAGTAGAGACACATATGTTCTAGCCGTGACTAAATAAATAAAACGAAATGTGTATTGTCATAAATATTAAAGCTCTTTATTATAGTTAAGTTTAAGAAAGAAAAGCATAACACTGACTTCAAACTTAGGTGCAAAAAATAAAAAAAAAATATTACGTAAGTAGTCGCATGGGGGCAGTGTCTTATTTACGTACTCCGCAGCGAGTTAGGAAGCGCGCGAAAGCGCTCCTAGCACTCCAAGGCATTTTTTCTTTTCAACTTGAAATGCAAATATTTACACCATCAAGAGGTCTCCTTGGGTGTTTTTTCGGCTAGGAGGAATCCGAGTATTTCTACCAAAAACAGCCGCAAGGTGCGCTTTGGTGCAAACAAACATGAAGAGACATTGCTGGTAAACCTTAATGATAAAAATTGTTTGCACTTTTCGTTCATGTTCCTTCCCTGTTTTAAACATCAAAGCGCATCCTAGCGGCTGTTTTAGGTAAACATTAATTTGTAAATTCAGATTCTTCGGACTCCAATACCCCAGAAAGGTGTTAGTAATGTATAAATGCTTTGTATTTAAGTCACTCTTAAATATTTTAAACGCTGACCGGCGACCACCATCTACAAATTAAACAAAAAAAAAACCTTAAATCGCCAACCTGGGCAAATCGGGAAACTACTTTTCTATATACAATCAGACGTGGTTTTATCACCAAAAAAATAAACTGAAAATAGCATACCTGATGGCCATGCTTTACCAACTCACTAATCAGCGTCCGATGCATCTGATAGTGACTTCTGGCCGGAAGTATATAGATGGCGAGTATTTTAGCGCCATCGGAGGTGCCTATTTGAGCCAATAGTGCGGCCAGCGCAAAGAGGCCAAAAAGAAGTTTCGAACGCTGAAAAGATGTAAAATAAGACAAGTTTAAATAAATAACAGACTGCATGCGAAGGAACTAAACTTATGAAAGGAATATTTTTTAAAGCACTTCTTAAGCATATTAAGACACTAAATATAATTAAATTTTGAGTTAAATTCCTTAGTCACCATTTCTTATCTGCAACAATAAAAACTACACGTCCTTTAAATTATAGTAATTCTTTTTATATAATTTCACTTTTAGAGCGTTGGCTACTGCTGGCCAGTGTACCCTGAGAAAGCTGTTCCTTTATTAATAGGCAAGGAAACAATCGTTATGAATTATGTTGCACATTTTTAGACAATATTCTTAGGTTTTCATTGCTAAAGTATAAGATAAGTAGTTATCTACAGACAGACGAAATTAGTTGTTAAGTCCTATTCAAACATAATATTCACGTACTATTTGCCTAGAGTTGCTGATATACTACTTAATTTTTGTAGATAGAAAGTGCGTCGCAATAAAACATATTTGCTGATATGACTGGCAAAAAAAAACACATGTGTACTTAACCCTTTCCGGTCAAATCCGTCCTAAAATTTGTGCAATATATTGTACAAAAATCCGCAAAGCGTTTATTTAATTGAAAATGAAAAAAAAATTAAATTTTCTCCATGAGAAGAGAATTATATAAAGAAATTTTAAAAAATTCCAGATACAATTACAACCTTTCATTGTAAATGTACAATAATTGTACTTTTTTTTGACCACTCGGGAAAAATAATTTAAAACATGATAGTTTGATTTCAGCATTTTTATGAATGCTTTTTTAATATTTCCATACTATGTGCTTTTATTAGCGATTTTACTTACCACAACTTGCGTCTCACTGGAATTTTATAAAATAGTCTATTTTTAAAATAAATTTTAAAAATATTTTTGAAACGTCTTTGATTTTGAAATATACGTAAACTACTTGGAACATTCCAAAACTCATAAAGTTTAGTTTATTTTCAAAAATATTAATATGATTTTTAGTAGCACGCTTTCCATATTACAAAAAATTAAATGTTCAATATATTGTACAAATGCAGGGAAAGGGTTAAGGGCGATAATTCCTTGAAAACGATTTTGCGCCGTCATCACAAAAAATAATAAAGATCAACGCAATTTTTCAGTAGCTTTTAACTTGCACTTTATTGTACTAAAATTTAATGGGCCACAAGACTTCATACTCAAAAAAATTCTAAAAAAATAAAAAAAATTTGTAAATTTGTAAAGTATTAATTTAGGGGTGGCTAAGGCCACGGCCGAAAAGAGCCACATGTAAATTGTAAATGCTACAAAGAGCCACAAAAAAAAACAACATAACAAAAATTTGATTTTTAAATAAAATTATTATTAGAAATTAAAAACATTAATTTTATTATTATTCTAATGTACGTAAGATAGATATTAAAGAAAATTCAAAAGATGCCTTTGGCCAAATTTTCAAAATCTGTTTACGCCAGTTAAAGCGGTTCGTAACGGTTCTGTTAAATGTTGGTTAGTCAATTGGTACGTTCGTTTAAATCGCCAGTAAAAAATGTCCAACAGCGAAATTCTGGCGAAATGTCATCTGTTCTCTCACAAGAGAAAAATATCCAAAATAGTACGCGAACAGAAAATTTGCAGAAAATTGCAAGTTAGACGAACAGCTGATAGAAATTTTGTTGACATTCAACAATATAAAATTGAAAACGTAAGAAAACAAGTCCTGCAGTCTTATCCTGACACGGTTTACTGACTAAACGAATATTTAATTACTTACTTCTTACAAGACATCTAGTTGGAAAATGCACTTTTTTTGGAAATTTGTAGGATTTTGCTTAAAAATACTGTGGATGTCGGAGTCGGACTGATGAGGTTATTTCTTCTAGCGCGCCCGAAGGCCACCAACGCGGAAATAATAATAAAAACAAAAATAAAGCATGTTTGCACCATGATGCAGTTATTCACAGGTATTGTCTTCCCAGAGAGTTTTGCTCTACATCGAAATTCGCGTTCTTTTATTTTCTAAATATTGCGAATATAACTTCACACTTAAATTTAAGACATTAACAACAACAATTTTATTAAGAAAATCCCCGCTAAGTCCTTTCAAATATAAACTGCGACGCGACACTTAAGCAATTTTTTGCCTATATTTCTTCAGTTTATTTAATGCTTATTATTTTTTTTATGAATAAATATGTAGCTGATTACTTAAAAACCACCGTATAATATATGGAGATTTCAGACTTTGTGCAAAAATTATGAAAATTCTGCAAAATTTTAACAAAATTTGTAACTTGTTAATCAGCTAAAATGACGCGCCCCAGTTTATATGTATTTGGATCACTCGCTTAGAAAAAAAAAATATTGAAATCGGCTCACTATCTGAAGACTTTTCGAGTTAGAAAAAATTGTCTTTCAATTTTATATAACACAGTCCGACTTCAAAATTTTCTCCGAGAAAAGACTAAGCATTTCTAATAGATTTTGGATCACTAAATTTGTAAAAATAGAAACTTATATATTTGAATTTTAATAAAATAGAACGAATGGCCAATAGCAAAATCGGCTAAAAACGGCTATCTTTTTTTTCAAAACGTCTAACTAATCGGCTGCCGGCTAAACCAGATTTTCTCCGGCTGTTTGCTATCGCAACCGGCTAAATCTAGCCGGAAAAAGTTGCTTAAATGGCAACACTGATTACCAACCACGCCTTGCAAACTGTTGATGATATCGAAGACCTTGGAGTTGTTTTTTATGCTAAATTTACTTTCAACAATCACATTAACTTTATCATTTCGCCGATCCATACACAACTTAAAATTAATAGGATTGGCGAATTCGAACAGTTTTTCTTAAGTATGATTTACGGCCTAGTACGCTTTATTGATCCTCTTCCATTATATTTTCTTCTCTTAAGTCTAAAACTTTTAGAAAGCAGAAAGTATAGTCTATATTTATATTTTATATAATGGCTACCATTCCGACCAACATAAAAATAAAACAAACAACCTCCGAGTATATTTCTGCCATGAAAAACTGTGTGACAACATCAAGGCGCACGCCACAAATCGGAGGAGAAGCTCGGCCAACCACTAACAGATTGTGTAAGCGCCTATCTATTATTATTATTTTATGGCATCATCCGCGGAGATTTTTATTGTGCTGCCGTTTTTGAAAAAATAACTTTTGATTTTCCAAGAAGATAATTTTTACCAATTTCGTGGCAATAATGCCCCGCCTACATTACGCCAATCCAGTGACCTAGGCCAGCTCTGGACTGCCCCGTTTACATTATGTCATGGCTTTTTCAGCGAAAATGCTCAATATCATGTCCCCTTTCACAACTAAACCATGGTTATTCTGTTGCAAAAAAAAAACTTGAAATTTGATGGACTGTGTTATTTAAAGATCTTAAATCCTTTTTCTCTGGCTGCTTCGTTAACCCCTTTCCCGATCAGAGCCAAATTTGGCACACTTACAGCAGACTTACCAAGGATACTCATACACTGAATATAATTTGGATAAATCCACGAGGTGTGGCCCGTCACATACAAATTGGAATTGTAATACTGCACGAATATCTGTGGAAGTATTTGTATTCCATACGCATGGATAAAAATGGGTCTTTATTTTTGGTACAGGTCTAAAGCTTGGTATGGAAACATATATGTATGTAAAGACAAATGAAAATTATTGGAATTAAGGGGTGCGGCACTTCCCATACAAATAAAATTTTTCATATTGCATACATAGATCTGGAAGTATTTTGGGTAGAATACTGCAACTTGGTATGGAGATACGTTTATCCTATGCACTTGGAGGAAAATGTGAGTTATTGAAAAACCGGCATATACCATATAATCTAATATTCCCATGATGCATACTTGGGGATACAGATAGCTACAGTACAGATTTTTTTTCAATTCCAGGTTACTGAATTTGCGATGGAAATACTAAAAACCGAGCGTGGCAGCTGCTGCAAGCTTACACGTTTACGCGGCGTGTTCTGGGAGGCATTTTACTCTAAACTTGAGTGAATATCTGGGACTGGTATTTCTCATAGTACCATACACTCAGAAAGAAGTCAGCTAAATATATTTTTCTCAACACAAAATTTGGTAGCTATAGCCAAATAGTGTAACTATTTATAACCAAACCATGTGTTGAGAGAAACATATTTAGTTGACGTAGCTGAACTATTTTCTCAGTGTAAAAAAGCTTAACGTGCAGACAAACTTTTTTTTTATAATTTTAAATGGCCTAAATACCTTAACTCGCTAAAAATTAACAGCTATAGCAAAATGGGCGTTGTACAAAAACGTGTGGGCGAAACCAGCGCTTATAAGCTAGTATATGTATATTCAGTAAATAAATAAATCATTCACCTACCGACAAAAAAAAGAGGTAGAAAAAAATTTGTTTAAGCATTGGTTACCTGTAACAATACCTACAACCACTGGCTAGGGCCCCGGACCTAGTCCAAGTGACAAAAAATATTGGAGTCCCATATCCTACCATGTCTTCATGTATGCATTCCAAAGCGTTCCTATTTCATATTAAAAGTTTTAGAAAAAACATATTTTTTTACTAATTCATTTTTATTTTATAAGTAGATTTTTTAATATAAGTTTATTTGTTAAACACGAAACCTTCCTGCCTTATGATACTTTTTGCTTACTGTTTGTACCCTTAATCCTTTTTAAAAGCCAACGCAGTGCCAGAACCGAAACGCCAACTGCCACTACCACAGCAGCCACTACCAGTGCTGCAACGTCGAGCAAATAGAATTGATACCACTTCAAATCCATGCCAGCAGCGCGCAAATGTCGCGCACCATTGTGGCGTATCACATAGTCGATCCAATAGAGAAACGTCTCACGCGGACTTGCTGGGCGATCGCGGAAAATGCGCGAGAACCGTTTGGCAGTATCACGATATTTCGGATTATAGAGCACCTCCTCCAGACCCTGCTTTAAAGATTTATGCGTAAACGTTCGAAAATCCATAGTAATGGCATATCCAGCAGACTGAGCTTTATTCAGATTTGTGAGCTGGTGATAAAATAATAAATGTAAGTGAATTAGAAAACGAAGTGTTTCTTTGGTCAAAATAGTCAACCCACCTGATCGAAGAAGAACGGCATACCCAACAAGGGCACGCCATGATAAACGGCTTCTTGTGAACCAAAGAGCCCCCCGTGGGAGATGAAAACACGCACATTAGGGTGTGCCAAGATATCGTTTTGTGGCAACCACTTTTTAATCATTACATTGGCGGGTAAATTTGAAAAGCTGTCATTATCGAATTTCCACAACACTCGTTGTTTCAACTGGCGAAAGACATCGATAAATATCTGTAGCTTTTCCAACGGGATGTCCTTGGTCTGAATTTGTGTACCAAAACTAAAATAAATGACACCATACTCAGCCCCATCCAAAAATGTCTGCAAATCAGTCGGTAGTGGCTTCGGTGGAGAGATATGTATGCCGCCGATGTTAACCATGTT